GTCTTCCATCGTCACCTCCGGCATCGTGCGAGCGGCTCCTCAGCTGGGAGCAAAGGTGGCGGCTCTCCAGTTGGAGCTCTGTGGGGCCGTGAGCCTGCTACGCATCTCAGAAACTTTCACGAGACCTTCACTCAGAAAGCAAACCTGGCTGCTCAGCCGCTCTCTTCGAAGGAGCCGTGTTCCTCAAAGCGCTCCATCAGCATTCGCCCCCTTCCCAGAGCAGCGGGTACTCGGGGCGCTGCTCGTCTAATTCAGAGATATTGGAGTAACCAGCAGGCTGGAACGATTCTGGGCTCTGCAGACTTGCTGTGGCATTGTAGTTAAGTTATTTCAGCTTTCTGTGCCTTTTTTTTTTTTTAAATGGGGATAATGGTACTTACCTCCTCCACAGGGGTGAATTGCAAAATGTACTGTTCTCAGGAAACGGGAGCATCTTCCGTGGGTTTAGCACATGCTTTTAAAGGCTCTCCTGAATCAGGGCCTAAAAGTATTTTCATAGAATCACAGACAATGAGGGTGTGAAGGGAGCTCAGGGGGTCACATCTAGTCCGACCCCCTGCTCCAAGCAGGACCAGCCCCAACTGCATCATCCCAGCCAAGGCTTTGTCTACCCGGGTCTTAAACACGTCCAAGGAGGGAGATGCCACCATCCCTCTGAGGAGCCTGTTTCACTGCTTCACTGCCCTCCTCATGGGAAAGTTTCTCCTAATATCAAAACTTAACTTCTCTTGCTGCAACCAGAGACCCTTGCTCCTTATTCTGGCATTTGCACTGAGGACAGCCCAGCTTCATCCTCTTTGCAGCCCTCCTGCAGGGAGGTGAAGGCTGCTGTTCGACCCCCCTCGGTCTTCTCTTCTGCAGACTAAATCAACCCAGTTCCCTCGGCCTCTCCTCACCAGTCCTGTCCCCCAGCTCCCAACCATTTTCATTGCCCTCCGCTGGACTCTCTCCAACGTGTCCACTTCCTTTCTGTCGTGGGGGCCCACAGCTGGACACAGGACTCCAGATGTGGCCTCCCCAGTGCTGAACAGAGGGGAAGAATCACTGTCCTCCATCTGCTGGCACCGCTTCTACCAATTCTAGACAATTTGGGCTGGAAGGGACCTCAGGGGGTCACGTCTAGTCCAACCCCCTGCTCCAAGCAGGACCAGCCCCAACTCCATCATCCCAGCCAAGGCTTTGTCTACTCAGGTCTTCAAATCCTCCAAGGATGGAGGCTCCCCCACCTCTCTGGGTAACCTGTTCCAGTGCTTCACCACCCTCCTCGTGAGAGAGATTTTCCTAGTATCCAACCTCAACTTCCCTTGCTGCAGCCTGAGCCCATTGCTCCTTGTCCTGTCGTCTGCCCCCACTGAGAAGAGCCCAGCTCCATCCTCTTTGTAATCAGCCTTCCGGTCATTAAAGGCTGCTCTCAAATCCCCCCCAGTCTTCTCTTCTGCAGACTACATATAGCTGCATGAGGAGTGACACCAGCAGAGAGCACGCGGAGGCTCTGCGTGTTCCCTAGTGGGAGATACAAAGAGCTCGTCCCATTGATGGTAATTCTTGGCATATAACTCTCGGTCTAATTTGATGACGGAGGGACCCTGGGCAGCTGAAGCCTGAGCCCTATGCTAAATAGCCTCCATCAGAGGAGCGGCTCTCATCAATATTAAACGCTTGGCCCGCAGGAGCGCAATAGGCAAAGAAATGTCATGTTGGGTGCAGGGGGCCGCGCACGCGGCAGGGAGGGGAGGGGGCCCGCAGCGGTCGGGAGCCGGGAGGTTAATTTTTAATCGCCTCATTGTCGTGGCACGCACACGCGGGCCCTGCTAGGTTTGTAATAGCGCTGCAGAGTCAATCATGCCAGCCCAGCGATAACCCGGGAGGGCTGCTTCTCGGAAGAAACTCATCCCTGAGAGATGGCTGGCTCCCAAAAGCAACGTCTCCTGTTTCTGCCGGTGGAAATGCGTGCTCCATATTCCAGCAGCGTCTTTTCCCTGCGGCTCTGTACGCCCCTCACGAAGTAAGCCTTCTGACCCTCTTGTCACTGCATCGTTTGCTTGCGGAGTTGGGGCTCCTTAGCAAGAGGAGAGGAGCGCTGGTACCATGAGCTCCTCGCTCCTCTGCACCCAGGCACAACGGGAAGGCCGGGCAATGCAGCAGGTGGCTCCAGGACTGCAAAGCAAACTGCTCCCATGCAGTTCATTACCACGGCCTCCTCCCTTAAGCCTCCATCCCCCTCGACACGACTTCGGATGTCGCATCATCTGTGTTTTTCCTGCTGTTCAAACCACCCCCACCGGCAGAGGGGTCTTGAACAGCGGTACCCCTTTAATGGAGCAAAGGATGAGAAGTTATCTGACAGTTCGAATGAGTTGTAGGGCAGCTGTCCTGATGGGAGAGCAGTGACGTGGGGGATAGAGGAGCTTAGGATGGTCCAGGCCGCGCTCGGCCATGAGACCAGGTGCATGAGAGCGACGCTTTGAAACGCTCAGCCTGGCGCTGGAGGAGGAAGGAGCGGCGGGACAAGATGCCGTTTTGAATGGGGGAAGCCACAAGAGCAGGCGGAGGCGGCAACTGAGAATGAAGAGTCAGCGCAAAGGGAAGGAGCCGGGAATGGCCGGAAGGCAGGCGGCCATGGCACCGGGCAGAGAAAACGGACCAGGACAGGAGCAGGAAGGAGTGAAGAGTGCAGGTCCAGCCTGTGAGAGCCTAACGGGGAGAAAGTGCAAGAAGAAAGCAGCAGAAAGGGATCTGCATCCCCTCTTCCTTGCCGGGCGGGGGTGACGGTGGACAAGCAGCTGAACAGGGGCCAGCAGTGCGCCCTTGGTGCCAAGAAGGTGACCGGCATCCTGGGCTGCATTGGTAGGAGCGGTGCCAGCGGGTGGAGGGCAGCGATTCTTCCCTCTGTTCAGCACTGGGGAGGCCACATCTGGAGTCCTGTGTCCAGCTGTGGGCCCCCACTGCAGAAAGGATGTGGACACATTGGAGAGAGTCCAGTGGAGGGCAGTGAAGATGGTCGTGGGGCTGGGGGACAGGACTGGTGGGGAGAGGCTGAGGGAAATGAGCTGATTTAGTCTGCAGAAGAGAAGACCGAGGGGCATTGAATAGCAGCCTTCACCTCCCTGCAGGGGGGCTGCAAAGAGGATGGAGCTGGGCTGTTCTCAGTGGGGGCAGATGGCAGGACAAGGAGCAATGGGCTCAGGCTGCAGCAAGGGAAGTTGAGGTTGGATATTAGGAAAAACTCTCTCACAAGGAGGGTGGTGCAGCACTAAAGCAGGGTACACAGAGAGGTGGCGAAGTCTCCATCCTTGGAGGTGTTGAAGACCCAGATAGACTTGTCTGGGATGACGTAGCTGGGGCTGGGGCTGGTCCTGCTTGGAGCAGGAGGCTGGACGAGAAGTGACCTCCTGAGCTCCCTTCCAGCCTGGTTTTCTCTGATTCTAAGACAACAAGGGGGAAGCCGGGGGGGAGATGAGCCCACTGCGTTGGGGTTTGGACTGGAGCTGACCTGCCCCAAAAGTGAATGGCTTCGGTGCAAGCTCCAGCACCTGGTCCTTCGCCAGGGGATGTTGGCAACGCAGGCGGCATCGGAAGTCCCATCTGCTGCTCCGAACAAATGTTAAACCTCGGCCCCTGGAAACAATGCACAGCTGAATATTACCCAGGCAGTAATGTGGAGCCAGTGCTGGCTGGTTTGAGGAAAATAATGTTTCTTATGATCTACTCGAGTCAAGCCGACACTGCATCCAGGGACCGAGCTCCAGTGCAAATTCAGGATTTCCTGCTTCAGTTCCCTTTCCCCAGCAGCACTTGGAGGAAATAACTTGAACTTCACTTAAGCTAACCTATGTCACAGCCAGAAATATACTCAAATGCATACGTAAATATAGATGCCTACATCCCAACACATGTGAATATCCAATATGCATATATTTAAATATTCAAGTGTTCATTGGAATACGTTAAGTGCATATTTGAGTATGCAAATATATGCTTAACGTATATACTTAAATTTATTTAAGTATAAATATTTAAGCATATATTTCAATACATTTAAACATATATTTCACTACATACATACAGACAGACATCTATACATATATATAAAGCTTGCTTAAAAATTGTTTTCCAACTATTTAAGTAGGGCTAATAGAAGATACCAGATTCACCCAAAGAACCTTGTCTCTCTCTATATAAAAAACTATTTTTGCAAAAAACATTAAAAGAAAAAAGTTGCCTTTTGGCTGGGACGGCTGGGCGGGGAGAGGGCGGGGCCGGCGGAAGGCCCCGCCCCCCGAGCGCCCCCCGAGCGCTGCCGCCAGGTGGAGCCGCGGCTCCTTCCCGGAGCTCAGCACCGCCCCCTCCCCCCTTCTCCCCAGTCAGCCATTGGCCGGCCCCGCCCCCCCGCCACCAGCGCGGCGCGG